TGTCCACATGATCTATAGAGTCCAATCAAAGCCCAATTAAACTTTCAAAATGCAAGTTATTTTAGGGTACTGACAAGCTACAGAGAGGCAGAACACCCAAAAGAGCTAATAAAATACAAGAGAAGGAAGAATAAGGAAGAGGAGGAGAAATGGGGGAGAAGAACAAGGCCAACGTACAGATATCAAAGTGCTTAAGACTTAGCAATAAAGCCACAGTTGAAATAGCACAGTACTGGTGAAAGAGCAGAGAAGAAGATCAATAGAACAGAACAGAGAATGTAGAAACACACTCACTTATATCAATACAATCAACTCAGTTTGAGCAAAGGCAAGAAATACCGCAACAATAGCTGCAAATGACTCTGGTTGCCAGCATGACACCCTCCCCAGCAACTGACTCAAATGGACCCCAAGGCTTAAAAGTGAACCACACAACTGTAAAACCTTCAGATGACAGCTGTCTAGTTACTTTTCTATTGCCGGGATAAAACACTAGGACCAAGGCAAGTTACAGAAGGAAGAGTTTATTGGGGGCTCACAGTTCCAGGTATGAATCCATGACCATCATGGCAGGGAACACAGCCCCAGGCAGACAGGAACAGTGCTGGAGCAGCAGCTGAGAGCTCACATCTTGATCCGCAAACAGGAAATAGAGAGAGCGCTAGGGATGGTGTGAGGTTTTTGAAGCCTCAAAGACCATCCCTGTGACACATCTCCTCTCCCAAGGCCACACCTCCTAATCCTTCTCAAACAGTTCCACCTACTGAAGACCAAGTATTTCAATGCATGAGCCTATAAGGGCCCTTCTTACTCAAACCACCACCCCCAACCTATGACAATCAAGGTGACCTTGAGCTTGGTGATGGCTTGTTAGATACTGTCAAAAGAAAGACTTATGAAAGAAAAAAATCAAGAGTGAGACTTTATTAAGATGAAAAGTTTGGGGCTGGAGAGATGGCTCAGTGGATAAGAGCACTCATTGCTCTTGCAAAGGACCTAGTTCCCAACACCCACATGGTGGTTCACAACTGTCTGTAACTCCAGTTCCAGAGGACCCAAACCCCTCTTGATGAGCACATGTGGCACTCATACAGACAGACGGACAAACCCTCACACACATAAAATAAAATAAATAAATCTAAAAATATACTTTGATGGAAAATTTACACTCTAAGAGGTATCTTTAAGAGAATGAAAGAAAAACAAACTGGAAGAAAATATCTGAAGATCTCAGATGAAAAAGGAATTGGATCAAAATACACATTGAACCCTTAGAACTCAGGGATGATTGGATGATCTCTAGCAAACTTTTAAAGAGTGGACTTCTGAGTAGAAAAACAAGTAACAGTTTTGAAAATGATCTATTACCAGTATGTTGGGGGAGGGGCACATGTGTCCCGTGGAGCATGTGTGAAAGTCAGGAGACAATTTGCAGAAGTCTGTTCTCTCAATGTGGATCCTAGGGAACCAAATTCAGGCCATCAGTTTTGGCAGTAAGCTCTTTTTTCCCCCTGGAGCTGGGGACGGAACCCAGGGCCTTGCGCTTGCTAGGCAAGCACTCTACCACTGAACTAAATACCCAACCCCTGTAGTAAGCATCTTTATCCACAGAATCATCACATGAGCCCCAAATAACCATTTCTAAACAGTGGAAAGATCTGAGCACCTCACCAAAGAAGATGCAAGGATGGGAAATAGCCCTGAAAAAGATGCTCAGCATCATGTACCAGGAACGGCGGGAATTTCAAACAGCAACGGCACACACGGAAGCATCTGTAAGAATAGCTAAAGTGCAAAAAGTGACCACCACAGACGACAGCGAGGATGCAGATGGACAACCCTCCTTGGTGCTGCTTTACAATGGCTCTTTGAAGGGTAGGCAGGCAGCCTCTTATGAGCTCAACATTGTCTTGCCACATGCCCCAGTGCAGAATGAAATCACAACTTCAATGTCCATCCAGACATAATGGCACATGAATGTAACTCTAGGACTCTATAGGCAGAGAGCTAGAAGGATTGCCACAAGTTAGAGGCCAGCCTGGTCTACATAAGCAAGGCTAGCCAGGGTTATAAAGTGAGTCAAAAGCCCAAACAAACAAAACCCGCATACAGATGTTTATGGTAACTTGTTCACAATTGCTGAAAAGCTGAAACAAACAAAGTGTCATTCAACAGGTGAACAACAGGTGAACTGTATGTCACATAAGATAATATTATCATCACTAAATGAGAACAAGGCACAGATATTGGGGATCTTAACGCAAGTCACTTAGTGAGAGAAGTCAGTCTGAGAGGGCCACCCAGTGTAAGTCCCACCCTGCTGTGGGTTCAGGGAGATGGAGGCAAGGATGAGTAAGTCAGCTGAAGCACAGGAGACTTATTTTAAAGTTATTATTGTGTGCACGTGGGTATTAGAGAATGTTCGTGGAGTCATTCTATCTTTCCACCTTTGTGTGACTTCCAAGGATCAAAGGCAGGCTGCCAGGCTTCTGCAGCAGCCGCAGAGGTGGATGGTGGGGGTCGAGCGCCTGTAGTCTCCACTGACGGGGTTAGAGGAACTGGAGTCCCGAGATCTGCACTGCCCAGGGGGCTAATACTCTACCTTGAAAAGTTATCTAGCTAGAATCCCAGGTAACAATAAAAGTCTAGAAAAAAGCATAAGCCTTCGAATAGAGAGAAAAAAAACAACAAAAACATTTAATAATTAAAAAAAAGAAGCAGAAAAGGAGAGATGGGGATACAGCTCAAACATAAGATACATGAATTATAAGATGGAAGACTTAAATAATTGTGTCAAAATTATATTGCATGCAATACTATAAATGTTTTACATAGAAGGCTAAAATGTCATGTTTTATTTAAAAAAAACTAAACTATCATACGCCATTTACTTACAATATAAAGCTGTAGAAAGCGTGAAATCAAAAGGAACAAAACAGAGAAAATTAATCTAGCTCAATGGTTCTCAATCTTCCTAATGCTGCGAACCTCATGTTGTGGTGACCCCCAATCATAAAATCATTTTCATTGCTCCTTCATAACTAATTTTGCTACTGTTATGAATCATAATGTAAATATATGATATGTAGGATATCTGATATGTGACCCCTGTTGAAAGGGTCGTTCCACTTCCAAGTGGGTCGCGACTCACAGGTTGAGAACCGCTGACCTAGGTAAAGGCCATAAGGTAAAAGAATGAATAATATAAAGATATATACTGAAAATCTGGTTCATATGTAAGATGGAATACTATTCAGCTCTGTGGAAAAAAATGAAATTGCAAAATTTGCAGGGAAATGGATGGACATAGAATATATATTAAGTGAGGTCGCTCCATCTCAGAAAAAAAATAACTGGATATGTTCTTCCCCATGTGTGGATCCTTGCCTGTGCTACAGACATGTATATCAATAAATGAATGTGTGAACCTAATATAACATAGAGTGAACAAGAAAGGGTGCTATCAGGCAATGAGGAAGACCAGAACTCAGGTAAAGAACACGTGAACTGTGAGAAAGTATATGAAGCTAATGGTTTTTCCACTTTTAACCCTGTCATGGAGTTTTCTCTTTTTATGGTAGATGCATGCATTAAAAATATAATCAACAGTGAAAGTGTAAAATCCAAAAAGAAGCTCCACAGCTTCCAAATGGCTGTTCTAACTACATAGATGTTCATTACAGCACACAGACCTTGGGTCTGGACAGCTGCTGTGTTAACCTCCCTACATGATGTTTTTATTTGCAAGTTCTTGACAATAAAGTGACTTTTAAAAAGGTCATTCACCAACAGCCATGCTACCACGGAAGGGGGAAATCTCACTGGGGCCCCATCGTAAGCAAAAACTACAGGCAACTAAGGAATGCCGAGAGTAAGCGAGTCTTCCCTAGGCATGAGCCCAGTCATCGACCAACTGGTCAACCCTGAAATCATCACTACAAAACGGACTGAGTAGGTGGCATTCATATATTTATGCCCATATATGTATATGTCACAGTAACGAAGAAAAAGAGGTCAATTCCGCAAGTGGGCAGAATTGAAGAGAGGAGAAGAAAGGGGAAATGATGTAATTATGCTTTAATTTTTAAAATATAAAAAGTTGGGGCTGGAGAGATTCCTCAGTAGTTTAAGAGCACCAGGGTTCAATTCCCAGCACCCACATGGAGTTAGTTCACAATGGTCTGTAACTCCAGTTCCAGGGGATCTGGCACTCCCACACATACAACATACACAGGCAAACACCATTGCACATTTTATATATATATATATATAGTCATTATTCTGACAAAAATAAAGAGAAAAGATTCTTGCCAGGCAGTGGTGGTGCACACCTTTAATCCCATCATTCAGGAGGCAGGCAGGCAGATCTCTGTGAGTTCGAGGCCAACCTGGGCTACAGAGTGAGTTCCAGGAAAGGCGCAAAGCTACACAGAGAAATCCTGTCTTGAAAAACGAGAGAGAGAGAGAGAGAGAGAGAGAGAGAGAGAGAGAGAGAGAGAGAGAGAGAGAGAGAGGATTCAGTTCACCATGTGTACACTTCATCAAGCAGAGGGAAAGTGTTCTGATTTTCTCTGCACTTCACAAATGCGTCCTCACCTTGCCACCTTCACAACTGCAGAAGCTGGTGGGAAGGACGCGAGCACCCACTTTTCTCCAATGGAGAAATCAAAAGATTTGCCCCTGCTGAGTGGAATGTGAATGTCCCAAGCCGAGTTTTCCTACTCTCCTTGGGTTTCTGGGCTGTTGCCTTGATAATGGCAAAGCATAGCTCACAGACCTCCTTGGAAGTCATTATGTGTATTTCTAAGTCTGTCATGTGGGGACCTCCTGTGGAAAGCTGCCATCTGGCTGCAGTTCAGAACTGTGCAAGGCCTACCAGTGCCTAGGAAACTCTCTCTCTCTCTCTCTCTCTCTCTCTCTCTCTCTCTCTCTCTCTCTCTCTCTCTCTCTCTGTGTGTGTGTGTGTGTGTGTGTGTGTGTGTGTGTGTTTGCTAGGAATCAAAACCAGAGCAAGTGCTCCCCACTGAGCTATGTACCTAGCTCACAGAAATCATCTTAGATTCTGAGCAGTAAGGCTCAGGCAAGAGAATTCTGAGTGACAGCCAACACAGTTCCGCAAGAGAAAGGAGGTGTGGCGGCGGCGGCGGTGGCGGCGGGGTGCTCAGAGGAAACTACAGGGTCCAGAGCTCTGTGACAGCTGAGGACAGACAGGCAGCTGAGGGCATCTCAGGACAGCTTCAGTTTTATATTATTCCTGAGACTACACACTAACTAAACCGCCTACAACTGCCTGTGGAAGGACAGGGGCAGCCATAAAAGGGACTAGTGAAGAGGAGGAGCTTTGTGACATTTGCAGTCTGGAGGGAGAGAGTGGAGGGTGATGGGTAGCTGTTTCCTTTGATTGAAGTGTCCCTCTCTGGTGTGTTGGGGTACAAGGCCTACCCAACTCACAAGAAGTCCTGTCTCCGAGGCCCTCCCTGGAGTTACAGAAGCTGTAAACAGTTCCTGAGGAAGAGGAGACTCTCAGGTGGTGCCGCCTGCAAGCTAGGCACGGACTGCAGTGATGCATCTTTTGCAGTTGCCTGGCTCTCCTGTGCTTCTGCAAGTAACCCCAATAGACTCAATGGTTCACCAGGCTGGAAGTGGCTGCAGTCGTTACTTTGACATGCTGTTCCCACCTCTATCTGGGGAAACCAAAATAGTCTTTCCAGGAAAAGTCATGCCCGCAGGTGAGTCTGAGAACTCCCAGAACGAATAGCAGTTGTGGAATGAGAGAGATCGAGTATCGCGAATCTTGGTCTCCCAGAACATGAGCTAACATGGTTTAAGGCTAGGAGAGAGCTATTTCTATTGGGCCCCAGTGGCTGGTGGGGTATATGCCAGGAATCCATCCTATTCCTGGAGGGAAGAAGAGCTGGCTTCTCTGTCTTAGAACCATGAAGTCACCTGTGCTGGCTAGTATTATGTCAACTTGGCACATGCTAGAGTCATCTGAGAGGAGGGGACCTCAATTAAGAAGTTGCCCCCATAAGAACGGGCTGTAGGCAAGCCTGTAGGGTATTTTCTTAATTAGTGATTGATGGGGATGGGCCCAGCCTATTGTGGGTGGGGCCACCCAGGGCTGGTGGCTCAGGTTGCTGTAAGAAAGCAGAATGAGCAAGCCATGGGGAGCAAGCCAGTAGGCAGCATCCCTCCATGACCTCTGCATCAGCTCCTGCCTCCAGGTTCCTACACCGTTTGAATTCCTGCCCTCACTGCCTTCAAAGATGAACAGTGATGTGGGAAGGTAAGTGAAATCAACCCGCTCCTCCCCAACTTGTTTTGGCCATAATGTTGCTTCACAGCAATAAAAACCCTAAGACACAGCCCGTCACTCAAACCTCAGCTCAGGTGGGCTCTGGGTTTAAGGAAGGCCAAGGGCATCTTCTTGGCAGGTGAACTGTGCTGTCACGTAGGGTCCTGTAAGAGTGGGCCTGAATTCAGGTCCATGCTCGACTGCCGTCTTGAAAGTTTTGAAAATTTTTAAGACAAGAAGGCGTGCATATTTTTTGAGCTGTCACCAACAAATGTTACAGCACATCTCCAATAGAAGTCCCTCCAATGCCAAACCACGGGAGCCCCCACCAAGTGCCAAAGGCTTGCCTACTCTCAGAGCGGTGGCCTCCTCTGGGGCTTGCAGGGTGGAGACAACGCCAGTTAAAGAGGGACTTAGGCACTTTGTGACAAGCAAGTGTCCCCTTCTGAGTGGCTCATGCCCCTTGGCTAACTGGCTGAGCTTCCTCTCCGCTGCGGGTCAGTTCAGGGGACTCCCAGGGCGTGGCGTGTCTCCTGCCGTGGAGGCTTGGAAGGAGGGCTAGGACCCTCGAGCTGTTGCTAGTCTCACATCTGTCCCACCCTGTCCAGCCGGGGAACTTGGCACTCTCCCCATCACCCTTCAAGGGCCCACCTCTCCCTGCTGCTGAGCGAGGCTCTGCCGGCTCAGCACTCTGCTGCCCCCACCTGGCTGTCTTCAGAGCCAACCTGACCCCTAGCTGTAGTTTGCGTTCTGTGAAAGTATTTATCAAATTGGCTGCTTTTTCGGTTCAAACACTGACCTGCACAAATGTCAGTTAGAACGTGCACAAACCAACCCCATTAGTCACAGGAGTTTTATAAGCAGGGGCGGAAAGACATAGAGGAGTGAAAATATTATGAAGGACAATCCTAAAATATATTCGGTGTACGCCAAAGAAGCTGGAGGTTCGGGGTGGCCCGGGGGCCGTGTGACACCATGGTTTAGAAACCTCCGGAGAGTGTGATGTGACACCCACAAGCCACCCTGACAGAGCTCTTTCCACAGGCTCTGTGGACTCCTGGAGCCGTAGCTATCACCTGTGTGGTTTGGGCACCCAGCCCCTTCTCCGTGTCACGACATAGGGCCAGGTCTTCAGCAAGGGTGTACTTGAGGGGTCCAGGTATTCCTAGGTACCCAAGTGGAACTGGTCCCAGGGCTCCAAGGTCTGTAAGGGCTCAGGTCCTTTGTACAAGACAAGGTTGCATGTCCACAGAATCTATGTACATTCTTTAAGACATATCTGGATGACTAGGTGTATCTATGCTCCGTGTGCATATTGAGTGAAGATGTGCATATATGTATTTTGGTGGGACTAGGGCTTGAACCCAGATCTTTCCACATCCTAAGTCACTGAGCTACACTCTAAGCCCTATATACCACACAGACCGTGTTACTCTGTATTGGTTAGGCGATAGCAATACGGAAAAAAGTCGATTTAAATCCGTGGACTGAAATCTGAGCATGTAAAGGGCTCATGACACATCAGTGTGCTTCCTTGTGGGTCCGTAAATAGGTTTTTTTTTCCAGAGCTGCAGGGCTGCCTGGGCCCTAGGCCAGTCCTAGGACCCCAAAACTGAAAGAACCTGCCCCCGGGTCCTGTCTGGCTCCTGGACTTTTGCACCGACGGCTGTTTGTCTAGCCAGAATGAGAAGATGAGATGGGCTAGCGCAGGGAGATGTAGGTACAGACTGTTTATTGTGAGAACATTCACTGCCTGCCTACTGGTGGGTGAATTGGCCCAGGGACTTTAAGATGGGGTCGATGAGCAGGGGTCCTAGGACTGAGAACCCTTTTGCCCCTGGCTGCTTTCACGCCTCCAACATCAGCCTCAGCCCTATCTCTCCTTGTCTCTCTGGGCTGCCTATGAGTACCATTCTTCCCTCTTCACTGAAATGACTCCCAACTCCCAGCATAACAAAGTAATGCTGGTAGCTGGGCTCAGCAGCCAGGCCTGCTTTTCCAGGATCAAAGTCTTATCGACAGCCGTTAATCACATGAAAGCAGATATTCCCAAGGCATTAGGCTCCACCAGATGCTGTGCGGCTGCCTGGGCCATTAGGAAGATTATGCTTGGACCCAGCCAGCACCCAGCACCCATGGTCTGGGGATGTGGGACTGAGCTCTTGATCTTTAAGCAGGGGAACCAGCTTCCTCCCTGCCCTCTCTCTGTAATAGCCCCTAGATTTCTCTGCTAAAAGATCGCATCTCCCCAAGCAGATGTAAAGATCCCTTCCCATGGGCTCTGCCTACCTCAGAGTGTATCCTTCTAGCCTGATGCTCAGCCACACTGGCAGCCTAGTAAAGTAGGAGCTCTACCTCCCCCCATACTGGAGGCTCTGCCAGGCCCAAAGCAAGTGAGTGGCCCTGTAGGCGCCAGAGTAGGAAAGGCTGAGCCCAAACCAGGAGCAGGTATTCAGCTGGGTACCAGGGCTGAGGGGAAGAGGAAGGGCCTTGCAGGCCAACAGTCACAGCGCATGTCCCTTTGCACAGTGGGCTGGCCACTTCAGCAGACTTATCCAGGGCACACCACTGCCCAGTCTAAAGTGACCTCATGGCAGAGGCTCACTGTTTAAGCTCTCCAATTCCAGTTCTAGTCTGTATATGGCCAGGTGTGGTCCATTTCTCTCAGTGACTACCCAAAATGTCCTACTGTTGGACTATAGAAAGTATTGGCTGTCAACAAAAGGAGGGCCGCTTAGTAGTTCCAGCAGGCAACGATCCTTTTGCTAGTAACCATGACAACTAATAGTAAAAAGTACATTTGTTTCAGAGGGCTCAGGACATATCAGACCCTATAGAAACACATGTGGAGACTGGGGAGTGCCCTTCCTCATGGGGACCTCTCGGGTCTGGGAAATAATCATGGGAATGGCTGATTCAGAGTCAAATGGCCTGAGGAATGAACTAAGTGGACAGTGGCTGGCCGGGATGAGGCTGCCAGGGAGAAGGGCCAGCTGGTACTTCAGCCCCTCTCAGGCCAGCTAGTAGGAGCAGCTGGAGGTCTGTGTGGCTGGAATGCTGAAGAGGAGTGTGGCCAGGAAAGGCTGTGTTGGGCCTAGTAGGGCAGGGGTAAGCCTATCCGTGTTCACTGAGTCCCTCATTTCTCATCCCCATTGTCTCCAAAACAGCTTTGGCTGCTTCTAAGAATCTTAATTTAGATCTTCTAAAGCACAGGGAAGAAGCAGCGGAGATGGTTCAGTGAGCAAGGAGCCTGCCACACAAGCATGAGGACCTGATTTTGGACGCTAAGAACCCATGTCAAACCTAGTGCGTGGTGGTGTGACTCTAATTTCAGTGCTTCTGCAGAGAGAGGGGAAGTGGAGACAGGAGACTCTCTAGAAGCTCTCAGTCCAGCAAGCTTGACACACAATATCCAGCAGCAAACAACACAAGACCCCGCCTTAAACCCAGTGAGGAGGTGAGGACTGGCACTTCAGCTGATCTCTGACCTCCACATGGGTGCTATGGCACAAGTGCACACACACACACACACACACACACACACACACACACACACACACAGAGGAGGTGGATCAAAATAAAACACAGAGGGCCATGGAAATTGTCCTGATGGGTTTCAAGACTCTAAGAAGATCAGACATGCCTCTTTGTTATAAGGATTATTTTGAGTAAGTTGGAAAACCATGGACAAAATCAACTCTGAAAATGGAGCCGAAGCAGCCCTTCCCAGAAGGAAAACGCACAGCTCTGAAAGGCTCTCCGTGCTGGGCATGGCTTCTCCCCACCAGGAAGCAAGGGTGACTCTGTGCCACAAGAGATTCTCCTAGATGAAGCTGGAGAAACGGCTCAGCCGAGAAGAGCGGATACTGTTCCTGCAGAGGACCTGAGTTCAGTTCCCCGCACCCGTAAGGTGGCCCACAGCACCCCGAAACTCTAACCCCAGGAGACCCAGTACTGTCTTCTGACTTCTGGCGAGGGCACCTGCATTCATGTGAATAACTCCTTCCTCCCCGACACACACACACACACACACACACACACACACACACACACACACACACACACACACACACACCCCTGCAGAATAAGCCCTATCCTATTTTCACAGGCCTTTGCCCACACCCTCTTTTCTGTCTTTATTCAAGAGCTGTGTGTAAGCCTGGGGTAGAAAAAAGATCTTGGAGATGTCACAGCTCTCTGGTTTTCTCCTGTGTATACAGCGGGTGGTCCTGTCATTAGACATCTGTCCCAGTTGCTTGTGTTAATCTGCCTTTTGTTGCAGGAAGTGTCAGCATGGAGAATGCAAGAAAAAAAATGGACTCCCTTCCCCCCAATCCTATGTTAAAAACACTGCCAAGACCCCTGGATGTGTGTGTGATCTCCCCCTACCCCCACCCCACAGTAGCATACGCTCCCTGGAGCAGAGAACTCAGC